TACTATTCTTTTTTTAATACTGTTTATTTTGGCTGTGCTGATCCTCCGTACAGATCTGCTCGGGTCCATCTGGAGAAGGTGTTTACAGCCGGACTTTCACTCCATTGTAACTTAATATTATTTTCAGATTTAAACATGTATTATTTTTATATTTTTGGCAGTGCTGATCCTCCGTACAGATCTGCTCGGGTCCATCTGGAGAAGGTGTTTACAGCCCGTCTGTCAGGAGAGATGGTTGGACATGAGCGATGAAACGCTATCTGCACGCTGCATCCACAGATGTTTGTGCAGGATGATGTTGGAGGTGCCCAGCTGTCTCTGCTGATTCTCTCTGTGTGTTTCAGGCCGAGTGCTCAGATATGTTTTATGATGAATCTACATATTTCCTCTCTCCGGGGGGACACACATTATTGGGAAGCACTCGATCTCTGCCTCTATTTCCTGTCGGCTGTAATAGCTTCCAGGTGAGAGGTGTTCCTGGTTCCTCGCCTGGGAATGCTTATTAAAACTGTTTTCCTATTGATACAGTTGGTTTGATACTTACCAGCTCTGACAAAGTAAAGATCTCATGTTTGGCGTAGTATTACAAGGGAAACATAAGTGAGTTATTTGGCCTCGACGCGCTGGAAAAGCAGCGCTGTTAAAGCGCAGGCCCTGAAACCTGAAGCGGGGTCCCTGGGCCGCATTTGGTTTTCATTATTTTTTAGCTCGAAAAATTTAACAATAGCACCCAGGGATTAAGTCATGGAGCGGGTCGCAGCCAAGCCAAACATCCTGCCTCCTCCAGAAAAATGAAGACAGATGAAGGAGGGAAGCAGGTGTAAAGTGTCCTCACAGGGAGGTGTGCAGGAGCCTGTCCTCTGCAAACATCTCACCCAGGGGGTTGGGGGTGGGGGTGGGGGGGTGAAAACAACAGTTAAAGAGGTTCTCTATATTCCTGCGCACTCTGAACTGTTCATGGGAACTGTGAAAGGAACTGATGGCGTGTTTAACGGGAGGGGAAACGGGCTGCACTCGCCTCTATTTATTGGCCTGGTTTCCTAAGGGTGTGTGTGTGTGTGTGTGTGTGTGTGTGGCCTCTTACTTCATGCATGTGGGCTGAAGAGGTAGATTTATGCTCTAAATGGAAACACTCCCAGTATTAATGCCCTGCCTTCAGCTCTGTGCTGCACGTCTCCTCCTCTGTTTTCTGCTGCTTCTCTTCGTCTCGTTGAAACGTTGAAAATCTCCTTTTTCACACAGACCTGCAGTCTACAGGGTCCAGTTCAGCTGTGATTGTATACGTGACACTGATGTGGAGGCGTTAATAGTTTTAATGAGAAGAGTAAAGATGAGGTAAAAGGCTTTAATGGAAAAATGATAATTACATCATTTATAGACACACAGGGATGACAGCTGTCAGTATCTGATTTTATCGTGGCTCAGAAATATCATGAAAACAATCCTGTGAAAATATACAGACAATTAAATCTGAGGATCGGCACGAATTCATCGACTTCACTGATGAACACATGAACTTACAATCATCATCCAGTCATAATGATGTTCAAATTAAGCCTGAGATTAACTCTTCTTTAAAAAACACATCACATTTTAAGACGACGGATTTTCATGCTTTTATTTTGACAGTTTTCTTTTTTGCATTGAGGTCACTCAGTGTCCTGCATTGCCAAACTGCGCTTTTATTTTGAAATATACACTACATCAAGAATTTATTTAAAACAAATCACAGTATAAAAGTGTAATTTTTAATTGATTAGAAACCTGCAGTAACTCTGAAGGTCAGAAGCAAAAATATTTCAATGCTGTGAAAATTAAATCTTTTCAAACACAAAAGAAAAAAATCACTGAAACACAAAAAAGACAATGGAAAACGCAAATATATATATAATATACAACAATACTTAGGAAACACAAAAAAGAAGTAAAAGAAGAAAAAATTAGAGAACAGGTTAATTTTTTAATCCAACTACATTTAAAAAAAGATTTTATAAAGACAAATAAAAGTTGAAAACAAACAGAAAATATTAAATTATTGAAGGAAACTTATTTTTAAAACATGAAAATATTTAGAATAAATCAATGCAAATAATTTTTAAGAACAAAAAAAATCAACTCGTAGTCGTTAAATTTTTATTTGCATTTTCTAGATTGTTTTTTCCTTAATTCTGTTTTTCAGTGAAACATGTTTTTTGTATTTTGAAAAGGTTTTTATTTTTTTTTTACTGTTTTATAATGTTGAGTTTAAAAAGATTTATTAGATAAAACGCTTCCTCTGACCCTACGGGGCCACCGTAGAAACCTGAAGAGACCAAAGCTCTGAAGTCATAATTAATCTTTGACCGTCAGTTTATAAAAGTGTCCGAATATCTCTCAGAGGGATGCTACAGTTAACTCACTAACTTCTTCTTCTTCTTCTTCTTCTTCTTGTTTTTCTTGTTTTTCGTCTCTCTTTTTTACGGTGTGTGAAAACAGGTCTAAAATATACACGACTGTGCACTGTAACACCCTCAACTTCATTCACGTTCTTAAAGGCAGTTGGAGAGTCCACCATCTTGATCGTTTAGTGCACTATGAATCTTGGGAGAACTGGGACCTTGAAAGTAGGACACACGTGGAGGCGCCGCTCGACTTTGAGTTACTGTTGGGTCTTCAAATGGAGCTCCTGGTTTACTGGGACAGTCCCAGTCAGCACACATCAGGCAGGTGTAAACCCTGTTCAGGTGCGCCGAAGAACCGCATCCTCATCTGATTCAGATTCACCTCGTTAACGCCAAATATACCTGCAGAAATGTTTTATCAATTAACGTGTGTGTTCGAGCTGCTCAGTCTGCCTTATAGTGAAGGTGTGAGAATGATGACACACACACACACACACACACACACACACAGACACACACACTCAGGCTGCAGAGCTGGATCAGCTGGTGTGTGTTTCTGAGTGACAGCTCCTCCAGGTGAGTGTGAATAACAGCTGAAGCTGCTGCGTGCTGTGACTGATCAGGTAACACCTGTCAGCTCACCTGATCCATCGTAGAGAAAACTGAATTAAACAGTCAAATAAAGTCCACGTCTCCTCAGGGCCGGGTTTACCGGGATCCTGCAGGTGAACTACAGCCGTATAAATCAGGATCACCTCAATGATATTATTTATTTATTAATTATCTATGATAATTATCGATTACTGATTAAATCCAGAAGTGGATCTGTCTGATTTTCTGTCTATATTTTGGTTAAAGGTCCTCAAACAGAAAACAAACACATCCCTGCTCTGACGGCAGATATTCGTACGTGTCCCATGACTTTAGTTCCCATGGAAACGGTCTCAGGTTCGACTCCAGGACCTCCTTAGTGTGTCCTCCTCTGGTATCTGATAAATAAAGGCAGTTAGTGCAGCATTCAGGATATCTGGGTCCGTGACAGGAACACTCTGGTTCTGAGTTTTGAAGTTTTGTCCTTCAGGGCCACCGTCTCATTCAGAAAGACTGTTTTTTTTTTTTCCTGAGGTTGAGCAGTTTCCACTTTTTCTTCGTCTCCTCTCTAAATGAACAAACTGCCGCTGACCCTCGGAAATGTTCTCGGTATTGAGAGTCGAGGTTGAGCAACACATGGTTTCGATGGACCCACCTCAGGTTTCAGATTCTGGTCCAGAACCTCGTCCTTCCCAGGAAACTCTGCTGGCGAGCGTGAACCTTTGGACGAGTGATTTACATACCTCCTCCCGCTCCCAGCCATGTTGGCGAGGGTCCGGTGTCATCGCGAGGGCCGGGCCCCGGGCGCTTCCTGTGAGAGATGACTTACAGTCCCCTGTCAGTCCGCGCGCACACACACACACACACACACACACACACACACACACACACACACACACACACACACACACACACACACACACACACACACAAACCTGGGCCTGCAGTCGTATCAGGATGACATCAGCAGCTCACAGGAAATGGTCTAATTCTTTAACATTAAGAGCGCAGATGTATGCAGAGCGGCGGTGACATGATGTCACTGAACTTCACGGCCGGTCCAAAGAAAACACACCTGCACCCCCCCCCCCCATTATAAAATATTTAAAGATTTCATGAAGTCAAAACATCAGCAGGCCTGAGCTGTGAAGACCTTTTTGGCCTTCTCCCCTCCTGTAGATCTTTGCAGCTGCTCTGAAACACGTCGTCCCTCATCCTGCAGGTCCTGAGATCTTAATCCCTTTATTTTCCCTGATCAGCTGTTTTCACCCATGGATCCACCTGAACTTCAGACCTGGACTCACAAACCCAGACGAGGATTCTGGTCCGTACCAGCAGATTATGACTCACTCAGTCGTTACTAAACTCAGAATTCAGACTTCTCTCTTTGTCCTCGTTTACATGCAGCTGAGAAAACTGAAATATTGACGTGAACGTGTCCTCCTCATTTCTCCTCCTCGTTTCTCCTCCTCGTTTCTCCTCCTCTGTCATCTCTCTGGCAGCAGCGACAGGATGTTGGCGGGCGCGGTGCAGACTCAGGGAGGTCTGTCAGAGGTTTTCTTCGCGGCGGCCTCGGGCGTCGCTCTCTAACGAGCCCCGCCCCCCTCGACCAGCTGATTTCAGATCTCATCAGCGTTCCTGCTGACGGTGGGGCTACAGTTAATGTGTCTGGCAGATCTTCAACCTCCACCTCCGTCTCTGTGATACCGGGCTGTTCTGGTCCTCAGTGAGAGAGTCCAGGTTTTCCTGCTCAGGTCTGCTGGTCTGATAAAGACCACAACAACCTTCAGACCTCCTAAAGTTCTTATCACGCTCTGAGGGAAAGTTCAGGACCGAGGAGTCTGGTCCTGGTCAGTCTGGTCCTGGTCAGTCTGGTCCTGGTCAGTCTGGTCGAGTTCCTCCTGAACTTTAATTTCTGCTTAAAAAACTTTACAGAGAGAAAATCTGTGACATCAGAGTTCATGAGGAGACACGCCTCCATCAAGTCGTCTCTCTAAAGACAGACACATAGACATATAAGCAGTAGATTGTGTCCTTCCAGAGGAGGAAATCTACTTCTAGACTTCTAGAATCAGCATCTCCTCATCCATGGTGTCATCGGGGTGAAATGACGTCTAAAAACCTTTCACTTGTTCGTCTCCGCCCGTTTGCATGGTGTGAAATACGATCCTCCTGAAACACGGAGTGTTTTATTTTGAAAAGAAGCCGGATGTTTTATTTTGAAAAGAAGTCGGTGTAAATTGACACGTTAACTTGAATGTTTACGATCAGCTACGATCGGAGGATACGACCTTTTAGGAGACGATCAGGATGAAGGTGGAGGTCAGAGGTTAGAGACACAGATCATTATAACAGCAGATAGCGAGACTACAGTTAGCATGTGCTAACGTGGCTAAAGCGAGCTCAGACGGCGCTCGTGGTCGTCCTTCGTGGATTTTTCTACAAACCTAAAAAAACAAACATCAGCATTTGATTATTTTGGGCTTTTTCCTCTTTTATGTCTGAACCTGCACATGTCCGGACTTTTTACATCTGTCTGTAAAACAGCATCTAGATCCTATTTTCCTGCTGATTGAATGAATCATTAATAATAATAATGATCATCATTAATAATTAATAATAATAATAATAATAATAATAATAATAATAATAATAATAATAATAATATAATCATTAATAATAATAATAATAATAATAATAATAATAATAATAATATAATCATTAATAATAATAATAATAATATAATAATAATAATATAATCATTAATAATAATAATAATAATATAATAATAATAATATAATCATTAATAATAATAATAATAATAATCATTAATAATAATGATGATAATAATAATAGTAATAATAATAATAATAATAATCATTAATAATAATGATAATAATAATCATTATTAATAATAATGATGATAATAATAATAATAATAATAATAATAATAATAATAATAATAATAATAATAATAATGATTAATAATAATAATAATAATCATTAATAATAATAATAATCATTAATAATAATGATAATAATCCCAGCCCGACTGAGTGTCCTTTCACAGAAGAGCAGACTGCTCTGAGTTCAAGCCAAATGTAATCTTTATTAGACTGTTTCTGTACAAAAATCACTGGATCACAGGAAAAATGAACCAAAGTCAACAGAAAACATGCATCTATTTACAGCATGGCAGAGACAGAAGAACGGAAAGAAACAGAGGGGTCAATCCTCCCCGCTCGCTTTTATCTAAAGACATTAATTAAACATTGTGCTTTGATATACTTTGATGATATATTTCATATTTCACAAAGATGCAGTACCTCTGCCCTCGTTCACATTGAAGTAAAACATCGAAGAAAGTAAACTCTTTAAACCTCTGCTGAAAAACAGGAACAGGACAGTGAGAGGCGAACTTCAGCGACCGGGACTGAAAACAAACGAGCAGAGTTCAGGATGGGAGACTGTTCGCCCTGCAGGCTGTTACCCAGAAACCACTGCAGACGCCGGAGCGATGTTCACACACGAATATGAACCTCTGGACTGATGTTCAGACATGTTCTTGTGGTGTGTGTGTGTGTGTGTGTGTGTGTGTGTGTGTGTGTGTGTGAACATCTCTCTGGTGTCGGCAGGATCTGCTGCTGCGATAAATTAAAGTTTGTTTAAACTTCTTCTTCCTGCTCACACTCCTGCTTCTTTGTTCCATTAAACCGTAAAATTCAGATGAAATTTTCTTCTTTTCAGAAAAACGACTGTTTGGAAAAATCTGTGAATGGACTCTTAAAACAACCGTCAATGATATTTTCCTGCAGTTATTAAGAGAAATTACAGGATTTTCAGATTTTAGGATGTTTGTTAAAATTACAGATGATTTTTTTAATTGTGATTAATGGATTTTAAACTTGTGGATCAAATGTTTCAAATCTAAAATATTATTATGATGGGAGGTTTGGAAAATCTTGTCTAACTTTGACTTTTTCAGCTGTGAAGTCTGAGGAATTGTTCCTGTGTGTGAATTCGTTTTAGAGCCCTTCTCGTCTTTGTTTTATATGGTTTCCATGACGACTTCGTTATTCAGTTTAAACTCAGAAACACATGAGAGTTTTTGATGATCCTGAATTTCCAGTGAACTTTTAAAAAATAAGAGTTTTATTGGATTGAAATTAAGAGCCGGTTTTATTTTAACTCAAACTTCTGTGAGGAAAAAAGTTCATTTGAACCTGTTTTTAATGTTTTTAATGTTTTTAACATTTTTAACGTTTTTAACGTTTTTTAATGTTTTTAACGTTTTTACTGTTTTTAATGTGGGAGACCAGCTGCTGCTGAGAGAGAATAAAAATGTTTCCCATGAGGATAATTTCCACTGAGCCAAAGATTTGTCTGCTTTAAAAACTAACATGCATCGGACAAAATCAGCAGAAATAAGAGGTACTGCTTTGTCCACAGGGGGCGCCAACATCAACACAGAAGAAAAAGCTCTGGTTAAGGAACTTCTCAGTTTAAAACATTAATAAATTAAACATATTCAACATTTTCCTCATTATTTCTTCAATCATGGATGCATTTACTGTCACATCCTAGACTGTGCTGCAGTACCTCTGTTTGTGCCGTGGGGGCGCTGCTTTACTAAAGGGGGGCGTTCGTCTCAGACACCAGCGAGCTTTTATAAAGCTAACGGCGACCAGAACGTTTTTTTTTTTTGGACACAAACTTTGTTTTTGAAGAACCTGAGGGACAAACGCTCAAAAACAAACTTCTCCCAGTTTGACTGGAAGGAAGTTCAAACCATCGAAACAGAAACACGGTCCGAGCCGGACGACCCTAAGGCATCAAACGGAACCTTTCCATTTCCCCGTACGACGGTGAGCGTGGCGTTTCAGAGCAGGAACAAGGTTGCATAAGTAAACAAACCGGATTGTGTGCGACGAGGAGAACAGCACCATCAACAACAACAGCAACATCGATGGAAGGTTCCTTGAGATCAGTAACCCATAAACTCACGTCAGGAGTGGTTTTAAAATCTGCTTCCTGTTTTTAAAATCATTCTCACCAAAAACACAAAGACACAGATCGACCGGGTCGAGTATTAAGATGGATAAAATATCGTCTTCAAACACCCGAACCAAGACATGGTCTGGGTCCGAAAGTAAACATGGAGGAATATTATGATGTTATAAGCTTTGAAATATAAAAACTTCCACATGACAAGAACCGCCGCCGCCGCCGCCGTCTCAGAGCGGCAGAAAAAAACATATCGGTGCATATCGTTCTAGCTTCATCTTTTTTTTATCGACTTTTAACGTTTTTCTTTTTCGCTAAGATGCGTTGCTCTTATTAGTGCCCCAACAGAAAAAATAGTGCATTAAGAAATAACCATGATTATACATTTCACAATAATACACAAAAGACAAGAAGAACCAGGGAAACACAAACGATGCTGTTTACAAAAAGTTAAATATCGTATCGGAAAAAAGCTTTTTATACAAAAGTGATGAAAGTGTTTTTTTTACGACCTGCTTTAAAAACAGGGTGAGCGTGTGGTGACGTTGTTTTTACAAAAGGTTCGATCCTCTCACTTCTTCACTCTTTTTACAATATCTAAAAGGTATTAAGACATCAAATGTGTTTACATATATATTTGAGACTATCATTCAGGCCTAAATCACAAAAGAACTTCCCAAAACAAACTTTATAAATACATATAAAATAAGCACAATCAGAAGAAGAACAAGAAGACCGGTACCTAAATGTGATTAAAACTGCTGCAAGCTTTTCAGAGCTGAACACCTCCCACTCCACACGCCCACAGGAGATCCGAACGAGGAGAAGGACGAGGGAGAAACTGGAGCTGCTCACAAGTGTTAGTCTAACCTCGGGTTTCTCTCCTCCTCACCTCGACTCTTCCTGGAAAATTACTGCATTTCCTTCTTTTCAGGCAGGAGACACAAACATGGTTCAAAGCTATGGTACACGAAGGAAGACGCTGAAGACGTCTTCTGTTCGGGGGCGAGAAACGGGGAGAAACGGGGAGAAACGGGGAGAAAGGGGGAGAAACGGGGATTCTTGATTGAAAAACAGATGGAGAAACCGTCTCACGGCTCGTCCAGATCTGAAAAAAAGGTTCAAGAGTGAAGTTTGTCCTGGTTTCTGGACTCAGTCCAGCTCAGGTTCACTGTCCAATGAGAGCTTCTGATTCAGCGAGAAACTATCGGAGGTCGTGAGCGAATATTCGGATAGATCACAAAGACCGGTCCTGACCCGGATATCATCAGTGGAAGTTCTGTGGTCACCAGAGTCTCTGCGGCGCCTCGATCACCATCGCTCAGAGCTTTCAGTTTACACAGACGCTCACTAACGCCCTCTTCTGGTCACTCACTGTCTGACACTAACCAATCCAGTTTCATTTTAATATTAAGAAATATAGTTTTGTTTTTTGTACGGAGGCCCTCTGGTGACATCGGAGGGAAAAATGTTTTTCGTGAGGTTTGTTTGATTCTTGGATCTTTGGACCCCGACGCCTCATCCATCCATCTGTCCAGGAGACTGAACCTCCCCTCACTCACTCACTCATTCATTCACTCATTCATTCAGCATCACCAACAGTATAACAGCACAGACTACAAGCATGAAAAATAAGCCGATCTTCGATCACGATGAATAATATTGATCTGTATTTGTCGCTGTTTTCAGGGACCGTCTGCAAACAAAAACCACGAACCCCGCCATCTGAGATTACGGTGTGGAAGAGGAATCATGTTTGGACGACGTTTCGAGTTATTGACCCTCAAAATCAGAATCTGTGAAAATCTTTCCAGCTTCACTCTGTAAATGTGAACTCGGTCGGTCCCTTAGATGGACTCAAGTACAGGGGGACAGTGGACTCCGTGAAGCCGGACACGTCAGTGTTGGTGATGCTGAATGAGTGAGTGAATGAATGAATGAGTGAGGGGAGGTCTAGTGTTCTGGACAGATGGATGGATGAGGCGTCAGGGTCCAAAGATCCAAGAACCAAACAAACTTCCTCTACGTCTACGTTCTCTCTGCAGGTTCTGATCCACGATTCTTTCTGTGCGCTCGTTCACAACGACGAAGTGACCCTCATCCACACCAAGCAGGACGTGACGCAGTGTGTGCCGCCCTGTTTTGACCTGAACTGACCGCTCTCGACTCGAATGTTTCTTCTTTTCGCCGCCGGCTGTTCTCCGTTCCCTCGGTCGCCATTATTTTCCGCGCCTGTTTGTGTCGTCGAACAACGGTGACGTTTGTCTCATATTGATGACGTAAAGGTCGATGAACTCGACCTGAGCGTCACACTGCAGTCACATC